TTTTTTTTTTTTTTTTTTTTTCACTTTTCTCACGTTACCGCCGGGTGGGCAGTGTTCATATGTTAAAAGTGATAAGACTGTCTGTAGTCTTAAAAACCCAGCATAGGTATATACAAAAGCAATCGAGTTGAATTGTCAACAAACCCTCTCTTTTCCACTTTAGAAATGACTTTTAATATGTGCTCAGCGTGAGAAAGGTAAGGACATTTGCTTCTTACAAGCTGTCAAAAATAGCAACCCTGAGAAAAGCTCATCACTATTTTTCTGTCCAGGCTTTTGTGGTAAACCTTCGACAAAGTTTGATTTCATTAAAGACCGATTTTTTCACTTTCGCTTCAGGCTTTATATTCTTCCAAACACTTTGTAACTCACCCAAATATGTAAACTATTTTTTTCACTTAATCATAATAAATTACGCATGTTTCGCCTAGCTAGTGATATAGTCCTAACGGTTTTTCAAATATTCTGTAACTGACGATGATGTTAGTAACATCGAAACATGTCTCGTAAAAAAAAATGTCGTAATCTTCTTAAAAATTACGATTTGCTTTCTGCTGTCTCGACCTTTTGATTCAAGAAAAGGTTATTAATTGGACGTATGATTTTCTATTCAGAATGGCTGTGGACATCTTGTTTGTGTCCGTCAGGAATTTGTTAGGCAGTTTAGCGGGGCAGAGCGCGATAGCGTGACAGCTAGCACAAAAAAAAAAAGAAAAGAAAAGAAAACAATGTGTCTCCCCTAAGCCGCCTGTTACACGGGTTAACTTAAGAGAGTGAGGGAGCGCATTTTGATCAAGCAAGCACCATCTTGTTTTGGGCTTAGGGAGGGAAAAGCGTCATAGAAAGTAAGATTGAAATAATCTAACATGGCAGCAAATCAACTCAATCAGCTAATGTCGATGATACGCGCTCCCTCAAAAAAAGGTCGCTGTGCATTTTGAAACAATTGCACCCCGAATCCCATCTTAGGTTCTTGGTGGTCTGTGCTTTGTTTCAAAATTATTCGCAAAGGAAACTGAGATGTATACCGACCATAACGAAAAATGTTTCATCACATTGTGCATACGGTGCCATTTACATGGATAAACACGTTAGGATTTACACGCTCGGCTCCGTCTTCTAACGCGTAAGTTTCTTTCTCTGCAACCTTGTTTACTATGAAGCACGAGTGTCCCTGCAAAGGGAGCAAATTCCATCAAAGACGCTGTATGATATGTGCTTTATTGCTAACTTACGTAATCATAAAATTATGTTAAGATATAATGAAAGTATCAAGTTTTATTTCCTTTTAATTAATTTATACCTTAGGTAACATTACATGACGAAATATTCATCAGATATCGATTATCTCCAACAATCAGTGACTGCCACTGTCTTTTTCTCACGTTACGCCAATGATCAGCTCAGTTATCAGGAATTCACTCTTCCTTATCTCTTCATTAAACCCAGCAGACCTAGCGACTGTGTAACATCATCAACAACATTCAGCCATGATCGAATCATCTGGCATTGCTATAGCAACGGTACACTCTATACTCGTCGTGATAGACATCGTTGGAAATTGTCTCGTTTGTGCGATCATAAAGAAACATCGAGACATGAGGTTTGTTGAAGCTAAAATAACTAAAATATCACAGCCAGTTTGAAACACTACTGAGGCCTTACACAACAACTTTATGTAACAGTGAGACTAGAAAATGGTTAGCTTGTGATTAACATAGACTGATGCAAGCATTGGGGAAAGTGATAAAGAATTTCAAATTTAGAGAATTTTATTAAAAGTGTTTTAATTATAAGTTCTTGTATTTTATTTTTCATCGGACGTTAAAAATTACAACTCAGACAACTCAGCTGTTTTCATTGTTTTCAATTAAACAACCTATTTGGGAGCGTAAATTGTTTCCTAAATAAGAAAGTCGACTAGAGCATAGAAATCGCTTTCAATACAATATGTGGATGTTTTTTGCAGGAAACAAATTAACGTAAAGCCACTTGGGCTTTCCACGTGAGCGAAATTTCCGTCATAGAAGTACCTTTCTCTAGACCATCATAGGGTATAGAAAAATAATTTAAGAGGGATATACTCTGTGAATAAGGCTTATTTAGGTAATTAACTTTCTTACTCTTCATCTTATTTATGATATTCCACAGGACTCCCATCAACTATCTACTTGTGAACCTGGCTGTAGCGGATGCCTTGTATGCAACCTTTCTTACACCACAGACTTTCTTCACGATCACACCCACCCACCCAGAAGGAATAGCTGGAACAGTTTTATGCAAAATAATAACAGGTGGAAACCTCGCCTGGATTGCTGGAACCTCCTCGGTTGTTACTTTGGCCGCAATTGCCACTGAACGATATTATGCAGTAATCTATCCCGCTGGTAACGTGGGCAAACTTACCAAGCGTAAACTGAAGGTTCGTCACTGACAAAGTTTAATTATTAGTATTAGTTTATATCAAACCAGTGGATTATGTGTTTTTCGCATTCTGACTGGCTTCTCAAACTCGGAATAGGCAGGTGTTTATGAAAAGGGTCTATAAGCAAAATGCATTCTTTGTTTTGTGCCGTAACTGCAGAAGACATTTTGGCGATCTATGAAGCAGCTATCCCCATTTCTCACGTGTTTCTTTTCCTTCCCTCTGAAACCAGGGCCTTGAATACGAACCTCCATCTGTCTTCTTCGGCTCCTCTCAGCTAGGTCATGCTGATGGTCCTTAGCTCTGCTTGTAGAGTTCTTTTCCATGCCAGAGCTGGTCTTCGTCTTTTCTTTTTCCCTGAGGGTTCCAAGGCTTGGCGGGTGACGCCGGTCTGCTCTCTGTGTAGGGTATGTACGATCCATTTCCACCTTCTGTTCTTAATGGCAATGGTGATGGGCTCCTGCCTTTTTTTCGCCGGAGTTCTTGGTTATAGATGCGCTCTCGCCAAACGATGCGCAAACCCTAACAGATGTTGATGAAGAGCTGCATTTTGTGGTCCAAGTTCTTAGTGTTCCTCCAGGTTTCTGCCCCGTACTGGAGAATTGTTTTGTCATTGCTGTTGAATAGTCTCAGTTCAGTACCCCACCTGAGGCTCTTCCTCCGCAACACTGATCTCTGGGTGGCAAAGGCTTAAAGTGCTTTGTTGATCCTAGCCTTGCCATTTTTATCTGTCCCTAGGAGCTTCCTGGCATGCGTTTACTCGTAGGCTTTTGGTTTTTGTGACACTGATCTCGAGACCTGTCGTCCTGACAACTCCGTACAGTATGAAAGTCTTGGTCTGTATATGCTCCCGAGTTGTGAGAGTAGGGTAACGTAGGGTAATCTAAATCCTTGCCATAAGTTGTTGGAACACCTTCCCTTTTACGCGCTAAAGCCCACGATTTCAACTACGTCCTGGACGTTTTCAAAAAAGATGAATAGAAGCAATGCAAGTAAATTGATCCCCCCCCCCTCCCTCCTCCCCCTAGCAATGTTGAAAGAAAATGAAGTTATTCTTAAGGCTAGATCGGATGTGGTTAAAAGGAAAAAGGGACAATAGAAAGTGGTTAGGCAGTTGTATTGGAACCGAACGTGATTGCGGAAAATTAGTTATAATTGGAATAAGACGTGGGTATCTATCTTAACGTCACTTTAGTTGGAGAATACTGTTCTAGGATGCAATCGTGTTTCACTCCTGTGTTGACAGTGAACGATACAGACAAACCAGCATTAATTAATACCTCTTCAGCTGGTGTCCTCATAGAGGCTCTTAATGATGTTTACGATCTTCTAAGGAATGCCATAGTGTATAGATTCTCCACATCACTGTTCTTTCCACCACATCAAACAACTTTTTAAAGTCAACGAAACTGACATGCAACCGTGACTCCCATTCTAGCGACTATTCGATGATGATGCAGATAGTTACTATGTGATGCGTGCAAGACCTCTCTGCCCGGAAACCTGACTGTTCCTTCTCTCAGTTTGATGTCCACAGATTTCCTGATCCTCCCCAGAACTAACCTGGTGAAAACTTTGCTAGTAAGAGAAAAGGAAGAAGCTAAATTCCTCTCCGATTCTGGCAGTCGCCGAGATCTCCTTTCTTGGGAAGCTTTGCAATGTAATCTGTCTTCCATTCAATAGGCACTTCCTCCTTCTCCTGTGCTTCCTACAGCAGGTAAATCGATCATGATATTTACATTGACCCAATGTCTGCTTCCATGACTTCGGGTGGGGTATTGTCTGGACCTGGTGCTTCTAAATTCTTGATCCTCTTGTCGGCCTTCACTACCTCTGCTCTGGAGATGGAGCCAAGGTTGATGGCCAGGTCATCTCCTTCCTCAATCTGACAACTGGTGTGCCGTTGAGCAGACTGTTGAAGTGTTCTTCCCATCTGTTAGGCTGGTCTGATGTCTTACTGAGAACGCTGCCGTCACGTCCACGCACTAGTCTGTTGGTATTTGTATTCCGCCTGACAACTCACGTTTGCTGTAGAGGGTTTTCATGTCATTCTCCTGGCCTGCAGTCTCGGCCTCTTCAGCAACTCTACCTACTAGTTCTCTCTTGCTGTCCCCATTAACACAAAGAAAACTGCAAAATTTGGCTTGGCAGTATTTACAAGTACGGATTTATTATTCTTAGGGGTGAAGTTATCGGTGAAAACCGGCATGAAACGATTTGTTCACATTTGCAATTTAGAACAACTTCGAAATTTAAAAGCAGCCTAAGTGTTCTTGTTTATAGGATAGCCAAATTAAAACTATGAAATTCGTAAAATGTCTTCCGTCGACGTGGTTTTAAAATCAAGAATACTTTACAATTCCTTTTGATGAAATGTCGCCGGCTCGGGGAAAATCAACCACTAGTAACTTCGACCAGTACTACGGGGAATAACTGTCAACCATAGGGTTACAAAGAAAGCTTTCAAACTAGGTCTACTGGTCTAACTCATCACCAGTGTGATACGTATTGCTATTCCTGGAAAAGCACTCCTAAAAGAAGCGTTAACGGAAGAAGTTTAAAATAGTATTTGCGTCGCTGTCTTAACATTTTACGTTTCGCTGTTTCAGGTGATCATTCCTGGTTCATGGATCTTCGCATTGATAGTCAACATACCACTGTTTCTGGCCTTAAACGTAAAGGACAATGCCTGTGCGTGGACTGAAGAATGGATACAGAAAGTTTATATTTGGTACTGGACAGCCATCGTAATTGCAGCCATAGTACTGATGGCTGGGTTGTATTCCAGAATCGTGTGCACCATCTGGTTCAAACATGGGCCCGACAATCAACTTACCTTTCAACAGAGGGTAAGCAGTAAGGGAGCTCATCAGTCACCGTAATCTGAGTTCTTTTGGCCACTTACAAATGTATCTATAAATTGAAAGAAAACCTAAAAATAGCATTTTACTAAGATAGAAAAACACGAAAGAGATACCGTTGAGCAACAGTGATAGTTAGGGATGGAGAAGATTGACACGGATTATAAACAACAGACGTAAAAATGTCAGGCTAAATTTTTAAGTTGCGCAAACAATGACGAAGCTACTTTGAGAAACAAGATCAATATGTGAACGCTTTTCGTTGGCTGCTCTGACGATAGCTACTGAAGTGTTCAAATGAACGCTCATGACTGAAACTTGCAGATAGCCACGTTTTTTTTCAATTATATTCTGGTGCCCGAACATTCTGGAAACGTCTTGTTCGAGCGTTGCTGTTAAGTGAATACTCTCCACCAAGCAGTAACCATGGAAAACAAACGCAAACAAAATATCACTCTCTCTGTTTTTTGAAATGTCTTCACCTTTGTAAATACTCTGAATACTTAA